TTTGGAAAAATCAAGGTTGCTGAAAGGGCATTGTTTCTTTGGAATAACGACCAAATCGTGAATCTTATTTCGCACAACCATCAAGTTATTCTTCCCGTAATAATCCCAGCTCTGGAGATCAATGCACAAAGCCACTGGAACCAAGCTGTGCTCAACTTAACCTTAAACGTACGAAAAATTCTTACAGAAATGGACGATACATTAACATCGTCCTGCATTTGCAATTTTCGAGAGGAACAGGAAAAGTCAAACTTAGTAGCCGAAAAACGGAGGCAAGTCTGGGAGCACTTGGAAAATACCGCGAGTCTCCAGCCATTTGCCGAAAACACTGCTGTTTTCTGGTAATTCAGTAGATATGTCTTATTGTGCATTTTGAGTATTTTTTTTTTTTTTTTTTNTTTTCATTTCTCCTTAGTTGTTTTATATATATTGTACGGTTGTGGGGAGTTCTGGTCGAGGATGTTAGGCCTTTGTTTGGATTATCGAAACAAAGGGTGTGTAGTGTAAACTGTAAACTAAAATATTTTGTTCTTTTTCTTCTTTTCCTTTCTGCAGTAAAGATAATTTTACATAGCTAATGATATAGTAGTGAAAAACTGTGACAAGTCGAACAAGAATCAGAATTTAGTATGAATATATCAAAATTAATGCATTGAAGATCGAGTCGATTGTTACAGAGATATTTTGTACATGAGCCGAACTAAATAGCTCGATAATGAAATCGTTTATCCGAATGGTACAAGGAAAGCTGCAAACAGTACAACAATTGTGGTAAAAACAGTTTTCCTTAGAAAAGTGACTGCACGGGTCTTGACGAACAAAGAGTCGAGACACACTTGAACTGCAAAAGCCCAAAGTAGAAACCATTTTCTTTTAGTCATTGCCAATAATCCTTTAAGAAAAAATTTTGAGATAGAAAAGCTGGAGACGTAAACGAACCTTAGGTTGCTTATATTTTTCGCGAATGGCCTTAAGCAAACACCCTCGAGTGTTTAGCTGCAATTCTTGCAGTTCTGAAACTGCATTTTTTAGCTCGGTTGTTTTGTACCGTGTATAATGCTCCAAAGTTGAATTCTGAAAAAGGAAAAAAAAAAAAGGAAGGTATATATATAAATAATTTGTATGGAGTTAAAACTTGTAGTAAGACATAAAATCTTAGGGAAAAATAAAATAAAATCAAACCCATGGATGATTTGACTGATCAAGTGTCCATCTTGCTAAAAAAACAGCAGATGCAGCAATTTGGGATGGTAAGAATTTGAGGAAACTGTACTCCTGTAGTGTTAATTCAGCTAAATAATTCGCCAAAAAATCGAGCTCTGCTAAAGGAGCCTGGAAAAAAAATGGGGAGTGCCTGATTTTTAGTGGACTAAAAAAAAAAGCTTATTTATCGTGAAAAGGATAAGCGAAAAAATGATTTCGATTTTATATCTAACCTCGTACGAAACTTGAGCTGCATGAATGAATCTCCTGTGGACAATAGAGTGAAATTTTTTCGAAGCAGAGTAAGAAATACGGGATATTTGCAGAAACCACCCATGGGCTTCTGCTTAATTACAAATATTCACTCGAAGCATGTATTTTCAGAAGATATATCTGGACTTTTTCTGTAAATTACACTGAACATAGGTATCGTTTTGCAATTAACTGATGGTCAGAGGAGTACCTGAGGAATTTCTTTATGGTGGGAACCGATAAATGAAAGCTCAAACAGTTCAGAACGCGACTTTCCATTTTGACAACCTGTTAATCGTGTCAGCCAGAGGTCCATAACTAAGATAGTACTTGCAAAACTCCACCAAAAAGAAAGAAAAAAGCAAAATGAAATAAAACTGATTCTCTCAGCTCTATCACTTCCTTAAAACGGTCCAAACAGAGTGCTCGCGAAGTATCAGTAATGAAGCAATACCTCATCTTTCGTGTAGGTATTATCAGTAATGAAGCAAAATTCTTCCACAGAGGGAGCATATATTTCTTCGTATTTCCTTTAGTCAGTATAAAACACCAGATTACAACAAGTAAAACAGAAAGGTAGTATAGTACAAAAAATTGAAATAAAAACTTAAAGTAAACTAGATGAAAAAATAAAATAAAAAATGAAAAGGAATTTAAAACAGCTGCATCCTGTAAAAATTCATATGTATAATAATCAAAGTTGAGAGAGAGAGAGAGAGAGAGAGAGAGAGAGAGAGAGAGATTACGAAGCAATTAGCATGCAAGTTACTCCAACAAGTTGCAACTTTTGCTTCTCGATATGATTATGAGATAAGAATCTATCGATAAGATTAATGGTCAAATATAGTGTGTCCGGGGCCATTCTATATTCATCCGAAACCTAGAAAAATCGGACAAATTGAGTATGAGAGTCCACATGATAAGTCAAGTGCATTATAAAAGATTTAAAAGAAGAATATTGATAGTATTATGAACTCACACCTCAACAAGCCAATCGACCAGAATAGCCCGCATGTCCTGATTGATAAATCGCTGCACGCTTTCCATATAATCAAGCGCTGGCCTACGGTTAAGCTGAGACGAGACTTAAAACTCAATAGGGTAAAAAAGAAAAAAAAAATAGCTGCAAATGAATGAACCTTAATCGATAAATGAAACTTTTAACAGCTTAACAAACCTCAGCTGTGTACAAGTTATGATATATATCGTCTACATAAGGACTACACAACTGTGGATCCTTGTGTCTTGTATCTATATCAATTATGCCATTATCAGCCGAGTTCTCTTCTTTCTTGCAGAGCTGTTCATCTTCTGCATGATCAGCCAAAAGTTTTTAAATAAGCTGCGTGAGGACAATGATCCAAGATTCGTGTTTTTTTTTTTTTTTTTTTTT